GGACTTCCCGTCTTTGCCAAGGTACACATCCTTATTGAGTCGACTCAAAGGGATACATTACAGCTTATTCCAGGCGAAGGGGCCACCTGGGGGGCCACCCGTAGGCGCAGGAGTAGAGCGTGTGGTTTGCTGTTGCAGAGTAGCACTAGTCAGCCCCTTATCGGCATTTCCGCAAACAGGTTGTGGGCATTGCCCAGGACAGTCATTGCGGGTAGAGGTTGTGACCAGAGGGGGATCACACCTAGGACTAGCAGAAATGTCTTCCATCCTGGCCACACCCGAGCCTTGGTTAATGTAATCTCCCGATGCAGCATCGTTAGGCTTCAGGCATTCAACCTGTAATTCAGAAGTTCAGGGACGGTCCAGATGGAAACTCCAGGAAGATCCGATCGGGCGAGCAGGTTCAGCTGCATCGTCTCTCTAGCGTGCTCCCCAAATTGGTCATCGTCCATTTCACACGGACCATCAGAGCCCTCACCGGAATCTTCCATGTCATTCCTGTGCAAGGTTGCCTGGTCGGTCTCATTCTCCACATTCGAGACACCAGCTTGGTTCCCATCAAGTTAAACAACCTCCTCATTCCGGTTATCCTCCATATCAGAAGGACCCTCCGTACCCCTAACAGCTCCGGCCAGCCCATCAGATAAGCTAACCGCTCGGGAAAGGCACACGTCCGAGCAGGTGATCTCTTCAATCGCAGTTATTGCCTCAGAACAAGAGGCATTCTTCAGCTCAGAGCTGTTCATGCAAGCACTTTCAGCCGGAGGGGAAATCCCTATGGCGTTCATGATAAGCTCACGAAACCGCAGAGGGCTTCGTATACGGGGAGTTAATACCCAACGCAATCTTACCATCTGGATGCGTAGACCTAGATGACGTCAAACTCAGAGCAGTAGCCGCCGGACTGAACGTCTTCATGTTCTTAGATGGTTCTTGGAAGTTCTCTTTCTCAGATCTAACAGCACCTGTAGATCTAGCACTTTTCTCCTCCCAGCCATCACGGAGCGAAGTTCCCTTAGAGGAATAGACCGTAGAACGGCAGATCCCAGGTGATCTAGCCGACAAAGCAACACCATGTGCTGCCACCGTCGGGGTCCAACCGTAGAGATCATCAGTGGCTAAAACCTGCCACCGGTTTCCTTGCCTCTTGTCCTCCCTATTACCACCTTTACCACCACCATTTCCCCCATTTGGAGGAGGTGACCTAAGGCCACCTCCTCTAGTCATCCCCAGAGCTTCTCTCTCTAACCCACTCTAGTGAGAGAAAGAAAAGGGAACAAATGAGAGCATCAGAGAGAGAGACAGAGAAAGAGAGAGAGAGGGGGAGAGAGAGAGAGATAGAGGGAGTAAGAGCGAGTGAGAGAGTGAGAGGGAGAGAGTTAGAGAGTGAGGGGGAGAGAGAGAGAGAACGAGGGAGAGGGAGAGATAGAGAGTGAGCGGGAGAGAGAGAGAGAGATAGAGAGAGAGAGAGAGAGAGAGAGAGAGAAGAGAGAGAGTAGAGAGAGAGAGCTATGAGAGGAAAAAGTCATAGGGAAAGATGGAAGAGAGAGAGAGAGAGAGAGGGCGAGAGAGAGAGAGAGAGAGAGAACGAGCCACGAGAGATTGAGCTGGAAATGTAGATAATGGAAGAGACGAGGGTAATAATAAAAGAGAGAGATAGGTGGGAGTGACAGAGAGAGAGATAGAAGAAAGAGAGGGAGAGGGAGAGGGAGAAGAAGAAGGAAGAAGAGAGAGAGAGAGAAGAGAGAGAGAGAGAGAGAGAGAGGAGAAGAGAGAGGGCCTTAGATAGATGGAAGATAGAGGGGAAAGAAGAGGGAGATGGAGAGTGAGAGAGAGAATAGAGGAAAAGTGACAGAGAGAGAAAGAGAGAGAAAAAATAAGGGGCTAAGAGGATGGAAGACAGAGAAAGATAGAGGGAGTGGGAAAGAGGGCTAATGAGAGACTGAAGATGGAATGGAGAAAGAAGAGAGAGGGATTAGGGAAAGAGAAGAGTGGGCTAAGAGAGAGAGTTTGAAAATTTTGCATTTGCAGTTCCATCTAAAATCGGTTACAAAAAGAACGCCAAAACACCACCAAGCCCCCTAAAAGGGGGTAAAAACTAATTTCTAATCCACTCATAGGATGCGACAAAAATTCTTGAGAATAACCATGTGTTTGCTATTATCTCCTATTCCCTGTAAACCACCACAAGCTCCCATGACGGAGAGCACGTCACCAAAGTCCCATAATGAATTGTTTTCTTTGAAAGGTTGATAAAGCATGTACCACCGATCGCAAGCCAAAGAACAGAATGCCCCCCAGCCCGTCCCACTGAAGGTCTGCTAAACAGAACTCCCATTCCTCCCCGCAAGCCCTTGTCCACATCCGCACGAGAGAAAGTTTCCATTTTGGTTTCAACTAGACGAATGAAGCGCTGAATGTTATGCTCCGCCATGAGGTGGTCCGTAAGAAGTTCTCCGGATTCCTTCTTACGTGCACTCAGCAATTCCAACAGAGGATAGTTAAACAATTAATCCACCCAAAGGGGAAGCGTACCCCGCCGCAAAAAACCTCCGAGAAATACCTCCTTCCATTGATTCCGAGAACCTCCCTCATGCATCCGGCCACCCGAGGAGCAAATCCTGATTGGCTTATTGAGCTCAAGGTTGTAAGGAGTAGCCCCTCCCGTAAATCCTCTCCTAACGCGACCCAGGCAGCTTCTGTAAGGGGACCAATGCACCCCAATTCTTTCATACGCTTGTCTTTAGCACCTAAATAGTGTTAAATTTTTCACCTTGAACATCAGACTTCGTCCACAAAAATCCTCAACAACCCTTGGGTCAATTTCTGGCCAGGAGAAGACCGTAGCCTCACCACATTCCTCTGCCTGTATCAGTGCAATTTTTGGTGGAATCCCAAGCAATAGAGCAACAATCACCACCCTCGATTCTTTCCACTGTTCCATCCGAAAGGGAAGCCATCTGAGGGATATTCCCCATGCCAGTCCGTGCATCATACCGTTAGAATGGCATGCTTCGGGAAGTCTCGTCCCAGCCTGTGGAGGCACCCCATGATCCCAAGACCTTAGTAGGTTCAAGTCACAACTTTTTTTCCATCATAAAGCGAGTTCAGTCATGTGGGTAGCTGACCGCTGATTCCACCATCCAGCAATGGTTATCCTTCTCATTGGCTTATACTTGGACCTGATCATACTCCAGTATTTCTTAAGTTCTTGATCGGTTCGCACTACCAGATTTGGTCCCCCCATCACCCACTGGGCATCCCGCTGCTAACGCTTTCCCAGGTCAAAATTTGTTGGATATTGTCCCTTATCTGTCAACCGGATGAGCAATCCTTCTGTTCCGTCAAGTTCACACCATTCCTAGCTGGTTTGGCCTCCTTCTACTAACAATAGTCCACGCTCACCATTGCTCTCGTTCACCAACACCGGGCGATATGCAGCCGAACTACTTCCAAGCTCATATCATTCAATCCAACACGGTCCACTCCATATTCTAGGCCCACGGCGGAACTGCATCCCCGTCGTAGTAGGTGGTCGAGGATGTACCTTAATCATACTTCTGGGTTCCTTCAAACCTCCGCCTTGTGCCGACCTTCCCACAGTTTAAACAAATCAGAGGAATACCCTCATTACTCAATAGGTTGGAAAAAAGAAAACCTCCCAGCCCATTGGCCACACCCCTTTGGTAATTTCTTCGATAAATCCACCAAACGCAAATACGTGCAAAGGCATATCTATTCATGAATCCTGGTCGGTCATCATAAAAAGGTGGTTCCCCTATGGCCCAGTTGGCAGCCGGCAGATTTTCAGGCAGTCGCCAATAGGCAACGTAGAATTGGGAAGCTATATCAAACCTAGAGCATGTTAGAACTTCCTTGGCAAACTCGACAATTCGATCCAACACCCCAATTTGCTCCCTCAATATATTTCGGCCTAACCACGAAACCAAGGCCCCATATACCATAACTTTGTCCCATGCACTGCGTCTCAAAACCAGCACATTGGAAACAGTCTGCTCCCACGGCGTAATGCGGGTGATGGCACAACTCGCCCCACTGCTCCTTTGAAGTTCACTTTGTACCCACCTCAGAAGGGTATCTCCACCCAAGAGACAACCCATCCAGAGCTCTTCATGCTTTTGTATTTTCCTCTAGCCTTGTCAAGAGATCAACGAGAACAATCCCATCTCCGCCCCAACACAGTTGAGTGGCATCACCCTCCAACTTGAAGAGCAACCGGCTCTGTCTTTCAGCATTTTGAGTCGGTCTTCGCAAACCAAGGACGAACAAACGAAGCACTCCCCTTTGCCCGGTTCTTCCCGACCCCAAAATTCTAGTATAGCATTCCGTCGAACACCCAAAGGGCAAGATTTTATCCAGAAGTTTTTCACCACCAACGGATCTTGGGAGGTTCAAACCCTATCAACTACCATAGCAGCGGGATTAATAGTGCTATGAATCGCATCACCTGAAGCAATGTAGGATCATGTGCCTGGCATAACCCGTGAAGAGTCACCGCCACCGGTGATCGAACGCCAGACTATGTATCCGACTCATACTATCCAAAAGGAATAAGGCCTTACGATTAACCACCTGCTGTTCGGTTACACCATCAGCCTTTGCTTAATTTCCATGGCCGGAGGACACGTGCCGCAGCCAGCCACTTGGAGCCTCACACAATGTTGCCCTGGACCGTCCTTCAAAAATTCCCACCACTCAATCGCTCCCATGACTCCATCCATCCTCACGTTGTCATACGATCGCCTGAGAGATCATATCCAGGTCATCCAAACTCCATATGTAATCCAGCCCCCTCCAAACTGCCAGATCAACCCCTACTGTCATCAGGCAAGATCCACGAAAGCCTTACGCAGCAGGCTTGGGTTCCCCCGCACTCAAGCCGGCGTGCACCTGATCATAACCCCCGTAACACCATAAAGACCCCGGACGAGCCTTGGGTCAGCCAATGGCAGCGAAATACGGAGAGAGAATGAGAGAGC